AGACAAAAAAAGCTGGAAGTGGCGCTGTGGGTCAAATGGTAGAGCGCTAGCCTTGAGCTGAAGAGCTGAGGGACAGCGCCCAGGCCCAGAGTTCAGGCCCCACGACCGGACCAAAAAAAAAGAAAGAAAAATGACCTTTGGGCTCTGCTGGCTGTGTGAGGCTCTGGTCACAGACCTGACCTTCAGCCCATGCTGCCGCCACCAGCGTGTCGCTCTCCTCAAGAGGAATGCACGCCGCGTGGAGAGGCAGGGGTGGCCGGGAAAGCAATGATAGCAAACACATCAGATATCACCCGACCACCTGGCAGCACCAGCCCCTGCCCGGTTGGTTGATGCCGGTCAGTGCTGGCCCTGTGCCCCTCAGCCTTGCTCCCCATACCTCGGGGGAACTTTGTGAAATGTCCAGGCTCTGTGCACTGCCCGCCCCGCTGCTGGCGGCCTCTGCTCCGGCCTGTACCTGGGTCTCCTGTAAAGAAAACTCAGGGAGATTCGTTGACTGTTAAGATTTGCTCTCTCCTGACTCTTCTCTGCTATAGAATATAAGACTTAAACAAAACAATGGACAGACACAGGTTAATGAACTAGGGTGGGGGATTCTTGGAACTGGATCTTGAGTTGATTATTTCTTTTTTTTTTTTTTTGTCAGTGGTGGGGCTTGAGCTCTGGGCCTGGGCGCTGTCCCTCAGCTCTTCAGCTCAAGGCGAGCGCTCTACCACTTGAGCTACAGCGCCACTTCCTTGAGTTGATTATTTCTGATTTCTCACTCCTTATAACATTTTGTTGTCTTGTCCAGTGGTCTAATAAAATAGCAATGGGATTGAAACTTCTAGATTCAGACTAAGCCCCTTTTCCAGAATTACCTATTGTGACAATGTCTTTTTCTTTTTCTTTTTGTCAGTCTTAAGGCCTCAACTCTGGGCCTGGGCACTGTCCCTTAGCTCTTCAGCTCAAGGCGAGCGCTCTTCCACTTGAGCCACAGTGCCACTTCCAGCTTTTTCTGCTTATGTGGTGCTGAGGGATTGAACCCAGGGCCTCATGCATGCAAGGCAAGTGCTCTACCACTGAGCCACCTTCCCAGCCCCTGTGATGATGTCTTTAAAGGTGAATTTGTGTGAAATCATTATGATAATCTTTTCCCTATAATCTCTTTTTCTTTAATTCTCAAATTTCTCCACTGGATTGCACATGCAGGGAGAACGCTGTCATGAATGTGTTTTGCTCCTTTGAGGGCCTGTGGAAAACATGCCCTATCAATTAACCAGCGGCCAGAGGCTCTGCACCACCCCGCGAGTGCCTGGCGTTACATGAGTTGGGACCTAAAAATACCTGTCATGTCTCTGGCATGGTGTGATTGCAGTGAGCTTTATTGACAGAATAAGTGAGAATGAAAGATTTGGACAGTATGGGGTTGACTCGGGGAGTTTCTCAAGCTACGGTGACATTTTGCTATGCTCTGACCTTGAGTCATAGAGCGGCCACTCAGGGTGGGGGGAGGTTTTGATGATTGTGAGGTTCATTTGGTCGGTCGTGGGGCCTGAACTCTGGGCCTGGGCGCTGTCCTCAGCTCTTCAGCTCAAGGCCAGCGCTCTACCACTTGAGCCTCAGCGCCACTTCCGGCTTTATGTGGTGCTGAGGAATCGAACCCGGGGCCTCGTGCATGCGAGGCGAGCGCGCTACCCCCTGAGCCCCCGCCCCGCCCCGCCCCCGCCCCCGCCCCGCCCCGCCCCGCCGCTTCCTTTGGTAGCGCTCGGCCCTGCGGCGCTGGCCCGCCAGGCGGGCGTCGCGGGCGCCCGCGTGTCCCTGCCGACACCCGGGGCGCCGCAGGTCCTCCGTGGCCCTTTCCCAGAGCCCCGCATGCCTGGGAGGCGGGGTCCGCGCGGGGAGGGGGACGAGGGGGCGGAGTCAGCACGGTGGGGGCGGGGCCTCGGTGGGAACCAAGCAGAGCCCGCACTGTGCAAGGGGCGGGGCACTGGAGGGGCGGGGTCAGTCAGATGAAAGGGGCGGGGCCTTGGCAGGCGAGGCCAGTACGGTGTGAGGGACCGGGCCTTGGCGGGGGCGACGCCAAGCCAGCACTACGTGAGGGGCGGGGTCTCGGTGGGGCGGGGCCAACGGGGCGGGGGCGGGGCCGCCGCGCGGTGGGCGGGGCCGCGTGCTAACGGTCGCGCGTGGCGGTCGCGCGGACTCCGGGCTTCCCGCCCAGCGGTTGAGGAGCGGCGGCGGGGCGCGGGGCGGGCGGCGGCGGGCGGGTGGCACGGAGCAGCTAGCCGGCGGGGACGTCCCCGGTGAGCCGCGGTCGCTGCGGTTCTGAGGGCCGGGGCGCGGGGCGCGGGCCGCGGGGAGGAAGCCCGCGCGGAGCGCTGAGGTGAAGCCCGCCGGCTCGGCGGGTGTGAGGGTGCGCCCCGCGCGTGCGCAGGCCCCGCGCGCACACGGGGGGGGGGGTGTGATGGGGCCTCGAGGCCCGCCCGCTCACGGGGGGGGGTGTGTGATGGGCCTCGAGGCCCGCGCGCTCACGGGGGGGGGGTGTGATGGGCCTCGAGGCCCGCCCGCTCACGGGGGGGGGGGTGTGTGTGATGGGGCCTCGAGGCCCGTCCGCTCACGGGGGGGGGGGGTGTGATGGGCCTCGAGGCCCGCCCGCTCACGGGGGGGGGGGGTGTGATGGGGCCTCGAGGCCCGCCCGCTCACGGGGGGGGGGGTCTGATGGGCCTCGAGGCCCGCGCGCACACGGGGGGGGGGTGTGATGGGGCCTCGAGGCCCGTCCGCTCACGGGGGGGGGGGGTTGTGATGGGCCTCGAGGCCCGCCCGCTCACGGGGGGGGGGGTCTGATGGGCCTCGAGGCCCGCGCGCACACGGGGGGGGGGGGTGTGATGGGCCTCGAGGCCCGCCCGCTCACGGGGGGGGGGTGTGTGATGGGGCCTCGAGGCCCGCCCGCTCACGGGGGGGGGGGTCTGATGGGCCCCGCGAGGCCCGCCCCGCTCACGGGGGGGGGGGGGTCTGATGGGCCCCGCGAGGCCCGCCCGCTCACGGGGGGGGGGGGGTGTGATGGGGCCTCGAGGCCCGCCCGCTCACGGGGTGTGTGTGTGTGTGTGTGTGTGATGGGGCCTCGAGGCCCGCCCGCTCACGGGGGGGGTGTGTGTGATGGGCCTCGAGGCCCGCCCGCTCACGGGGGGGGGGGGGTGTGATGGGGCCTCGAGGCCCGTCCGCTCACGGGGGGGGGGTGTGTGTGTGTGTGATGGGGCCTCGAGGCCCGCCCGCTCACGGGGGGGGGGGGGTGTGATGGGCCTCGAGGCCCGTCCGCTCACGGGGGGGGGGGGGGGTGATGGGCCTCGAGGCCCGTCTGCTCACGGGGGGGGGGGGTGTGATGGGCCTCGAGGCCCGCCCGCTCACGGGGGGGGGGGTGTGTGATGGGGCCTCGAGGCCGCCGACACCCATGCCGCCCGTGACCCTGTCCCCCTGGCCCCGCGACCCCCCCCGCCCTCCCCCCCCAGCCGGAATCACCCAAACCCCGCGAGAAGGGTGAACTGAGCCAGAATGGAAAAGACAATTCTGGGCTTAGACCCCGGCTCTAGAATCTTCCACAGCCCCACGTCCGCGGCTGACGCCTGTCTTTCTCTGTAGATACTCGGGAAGCTGAGCGCCGAGGATCGCGGTTTGAAGCCAGCCAGGACAGAAGAACCCGTGAGACATTTCTTCCTTTTTTTGGCCAGTCCTGGGGCTTGAACTCGCGGCCTGGGCGCTGTCCCTGAGCTGCTCTTGCTCGGGGCTGGCGCTCTACCACAGCGCCACTTCTTGCTTTTTCTCCGTGTGTCGTGCTGAGGAATCGAACCCGGGGCTTCATGCGCGCTAGGCCAGCCCTCTACCACGGAGCCACCTTCCCAGCCACCCTGATACTCTTATCTCCTATTAACCACTGGAAAAACATCAGGGGAGACCTAGTAGAGCGCTAGCCTTGAGGGAAAAAACTGCGGGGGAAAAAGCTCAGGGGCGGGTCCTGAGTTCAAGCTCCGCAACTGATAACAATAACCACCTCCACCACCACCACAGCAGAGACTGCTGAGAGTGGGGGATAGTTGAGGCGGGCCACAGGAAAAGCCTCTCCTGGACCCCTGAGGAGTGTGGAGGACCCTCTCCCAAACAGGAAAGGTGGAAGGTGTCAGAGTGGAGAGCATCAAGGAAGAGGGGCTGCACCTGGGCGAGGCAGCACGCTGCCACAGCGGTCTACGGGCCTGGGCAAGCACGGAGAGTGAGGTCCCTGCACTCTGCCATATCCTTCAAATGATTGTGGAAAGTGAAAGAATCTCAAAGAAGCCGGAGGCCAGTGGTTCATGCTTGTGAACCTAGCTACTCAGGAGGCTGAGTTCTCAGCATTAGGGTTCAAAGCCAGCCTGGGAAGAAAAGTCTGTGAGACTCCGATCACCAATAAACCACCAGAAAACTGGAAGTGGTGCTGTGGTTCAAGTGGTAGAGCGCTCACCTTGAGCTGAAGAGCTGAGGGACAGCGCCGGGGCGGAGTTCAAGCCCCAGGATTGACAAAGTAAAAAAAAAAAAGAATCTCAAAGAGGTCATATGTCAGTTAATGACCAAATCACCAAGAGATGCTTAAGGGTAAAAATGTGAGGAACTCTAGGGGGCAAGCTCTTGTCTAGTAAGCATGAGGCCCTGAGTTCAAACCTGATACCAGCACCACCAAAAAAGACTACCTGAATTAATATTTATTTCATCATTATAATAATTTTTTCCCAAAGTACAAGTATCCAATGCTTTCTTTCAATGGATCAGTATTTCTCCTCACATTGTCTCATTCCTAACTGGTCAGCCACACAGTCACCTACCTTTGTCACACCTTCCCAGCCCCTCACCTCTGTTTTTATAAAAATACTTGGATTGTAGGTCTGACTAAATCATATAGGTTTTTAAATTATTTTTAATATTTGGAATTTTTCATGATTATTTCAGATATTTAATTTATATGTCTAAATTGTATTTTCTAACATGCAGATTGAATATGGCAAGTTCCTTTGCTTTGAGGACCTTTACTGCACTTGCAGATCTGCAGCAAAATATGGCTAATCTGGTAAGTTTCAATTCTGGTTTCAAAACTGGTTTGATTATTCTCATGAAAAGTGAAATCTGGTAGCATTCAGTGTAGCAAATTTATTAGATACATTCTTATAAAATTGATAAGCATGTAGATTATTCATTAATATAATTATAGATATTAAGTATCCCTAAACCTGTTTGTATTATGCTATTGAAATAAAAATTAATCTTCTGTCTATAGAGCAGGAGACATCATTGTAGATATGGTTAGCAATGGTTCAAAATAATCAAAAGACTTTTGTGTTATTTTGATATTTAATAAAGGGATAATTTTAGTAAATGTGTGTAAGAAATAGTATCAATGGGAGCTGGGAAGTTGGCTCAGTGGTAGAGTGCTTGCCTTGCATGCATGAGGCCCTGGGTTCGATTCCTCAGCACCACATAAGCAGAAAAAGCTGGAAGTGCCGCTGTGGCTCAGATAGTAGAGCAGAAGCCTTGAGCTGAAGAGCTGAGGGACAGTGCCCACGCCCTGAGTTCAGGCCCACAACGGACAAAAAAAAAAAAAAAGAAAGAAATAGTATCAATGTGTCCACAATGCAGGAAGAAGAGCTAAGAACTTAGCTAGAATAAACTTCATTGTATTTTTAATGTCACTGATTATTGCAAGGTTAAAATCAAGGACTAGAGGGCTGGGAAGCTGGCTCAGTGGTAGAGCGCTTGCCTTGCATGCCTGAGGCCCTGGGTTCGATTCCTCAGCACCACATAAACAAAAAAGCCGGAAGTGGCGCTGTGGCTCAAGTGGTAGAGTGCTAGCCTTGAGCTGAAGAGCTGAGGGACAGTGCCCAGGCCCAGAGTTCAGGCCCCATGACCGGACCCAAAAAAAAAAAAAAATCAAGGACTAGAGTTAGTCATTTTAGTTTTTCCCTTTGAAAGAAGATAACTATTTTTATTTATTTTTTCATTTTTTGTTGCTTGTGGGGCTTGAACTCAGGGCCTGGGCAGTTTCTGAGCAATTTTTGTTCAAGGCTAGACTCTACTACTTTGAGCCACAACCCCACTCTAGGTTTCTAGTTATCTAGTTATTGCCAGTTAACCAACTGGAGATAAGAATGTTACGGACTTTTCTGCCTGGGCTGGCTTTGAACTGAGATTCTCAGATCTCAGCTTCCTGAGTAACTAGGATTATAGCATGAGCCACTGGTGCATGGCTCTTCGTTTCCTTCCTCCCTCCCTCCCTCCCTCCCTCCCTCCCTCCCTCTCTCCCTCTCTCTCTCTTTCTCTCTCTCCCTGCCTCCCTCCTTTTCTTTCTTTCTTTCTTTTTTCTCTCTCTTTCTTTTTCTTTCTCTCTCTCTCTCTTTCTTTCTTTTTTTCTTTCTTTCATGGAGTTTTAACTCTGGGCATGAGTACTGTCCCTCAGCTCTTCAGCTCAAGGCCAGCGCTCTACCACTTGTGCTACAGAACCAATTCCCATTTTCTGGCGGTTTATTGGAGATAAGAGTCTCTCAGTGGTAGAGCGCTTGCCTTGCATGCCTGAGGCCCTGGGTTCAGTTCAATTGCTCAGCACCACATAAAAAGAAAAAAGCCGGAAGTTGTGCTGTGCCTCACGTGACAGAGCACTAGCCTTGAGCTGAAGAGCTGAGGGACAGCGCCCAGGCCCAGAGTTCAGGCACCACGACCGGACCCAAAAAAAAAAAGAGTCTCATGGACTTTTCCTGCCCGGTCTAGCTTTGAACTGTGATCCTCAAATCTCAGCTTCCTGAGTAGCTAGAATTACAAGCGTGAGCCACCAGCACCCAGCTTTATTTTTATTTCTTAAAACACATTTCAAAATTATAGTTTTTGTTTTGATAGTTACTAAAGGGGACATTACAACTGTTTTTTTTTTTGATAGGTCATGGGGCCTGAACTCTCAAGGTGAGCACTCTACCACTTGAGCCACAGCGCCATTTCTGGTTTTCTAGTGGTTGATTGGAGATAAGAGTCTATGGACTTTCCTACCTGGGCTGGCTTTGAACTATGATCTTCAGATCTCAGCCTCCTAAGTAGCTAGGATTACAGGAGCCAGCTAACATGACAACTTTTAAGGAAGTTGAAATGGAATATCCAAGACTTTTTTTTTTTTGCTGGTTGTGGGGCCTGAACTCTCAACATGGGTGCTGTTCCTCAGCTCTTCAGCTCAAGGCTAGTGCTCTGTCACGTGAGCCACAGAGCCACTTCTATCTTTTTCTGCTTATGTGGTGCTGAGGAATCGAACCCAGGGCCTCATTCATGCAAGGCAAGCACTCTACCACTGAGCCACCTTTCTAGCCCAGAAGATCTAAGACTTTAGAATTTAAATTTATTAGCAGCTCTGTGGTGTGTGTGTGTGTGTGTGTGTGTGTGTGTGTGTGTGTGTGTGTGTGTGTGTATACATACAGTCTATATATATATAGTCTCATCTCTCTCTCTCTCTCTCTCTCTATATATATATATAAAGTCTAATTTATGTTACTGTCCAGCATGTTTGAATTAAGAAGCTAAACAATTTCATGTTAGCAGACCCATACAAGGAAAAGCTTTGACTACCATAGCAAATGAAATTGCATAATACATGTGCTCTAGAAGAATTCAGTAATGCTGGGCTCTGGTTGCTCACACCTGTAATCCTAGCTACTCAGGAGGCTGAGATCTGAGGATCTTGGTTCAAAGCCAGCCCTGGCAGGAAAGTCCATGAGACTCTTATCTCCAATAAACCACTAGAAAACTGGAAGTGGTACTGTGGCTCAAGCGGTAGAGTGCTCGCCTTGAACTGAAGAGCACAAGGACAGTGCCCAAGCCCAGAGTTCAAGTTCCACAACAGACAAAAAAAAAAAAAAAAAAAAAAAGATTCAGTAAGGATCTACAGCTACAGCATAGGGTAGTTAGTGTGCGCCACCTAGTGACTGAAAATAAACTAGAGGGGAGGGGAGGAAAGGATAGTAGGAGAAAAACAGAGGAGGGAGTTAACAATGCTTGACAAGAAATGTACTCATTACCTTACTCATGTCACTATAACCCGTCTGTATATCATCTTTACAGTAAAATAAAATTTTAAAAAAAGAAAATAAACTAGAAACATGCCACGTATCAAACAACTATAGTTATAATAACAGCTGTCTTGTTATTTTGTACTATTCTCCGTAGAGTTGAGCATTTATGGAATTCTTTTACATGTTTGTCTGGATTAAAAACATTTAAATGGTTCCTAGACAAAAATGTTTGTTAGACCCAGTAAAATATAACAATCCCATGAAATTAAATTTACCATCTACATCTGTGTTTAATATTGGTCTTCTATACTCTTTTGTTTTTCAGAAAATAATCGGTATAGTTATTGGAAAAACAGATGTCAAAGGCTTTCCAGACAGAAAAAGCTGAGTTCTATTTAACGCTTTGCCTCATTTTTCATCAAGTGTGGCTTATGTCTGTAGCAAAGTGTATTTAACTGATTACATTTCCCATGCCTGCTCAATCTCCTAAGAGCAAAGATCATGTTATTGTGTATGGTACGCATACATGAGGATGAAGATAGATCGTAGATAATATTTTTATTGTTTTTGTTGGTTGTGGGGCTTAAACTCTGGGCTTGGGCGCTGTCCCTGCGCTCTTCAGCTCAAGGTGAGCACTCTACCACTTGAGCCACAGTGCCACTTCCAGTTTTCTAGTGGTTTATTGGAGATAAGAGTTTCACAGACTTTTCTGCCTGGGCTGGCTTTGAACTGTGATCCTTAGATCTCAGCCTCCTGAATAGCTAGGATTGCAGGTGTAAGCCACGAGTGCCCGCTTTTGCTTTTGCTTTTTTAAAATTGTTTATTTTTTGCCAGCTCGGGGGCTTGAATTCAGGCAAGGCCTGAGATCTGTCCCTGAATTTGTGTGTGCTCAAGGCTAGTGCTCTACCTCTTGAGCCACAGTGTCACTTCCAGCTTTTTCTGTTTATATAGTACTGAGGAGTTGAACCCAGGACTTCATGCATACTGGGCAAGCACTCTACCAATAAGCCATATTCCCAGCCCTTTTTTTATTTTTATAATTTTTTTCCTGTTCTGGGCTGGAACTTAGGGTCTAGGTGTTGTCCCTGAGCCTCTTTGTGTTCAAAGCTAGCATTCACCACTTGTGACACAGTTCTACTTCCAGCTTTTTTCTGAGTAGTTTATTGGAGATAACAGTCTCATGGACTTTCCTGCCTAGGCTGGCTTTAAACTGCAATCCTCAGATCTCCGCCCCCTGAGTAGCTAAGATTACAGGTGTGAACCACCAGCACCCAGTTTGTTTTCTTTTTTGTCCAGTACTGGGACTTGAACTTGGGGCCTCATGCTCTCACTTGGGCTTTTTTGTGTTTTTCTTAAGCTGTTACTCTACCACTTGAACCCTGGGTAAACATGCAAAAACCTATCTGAAAAATAACTAAAGCCAGAAAGGGCTATGAGTCTGCCTCCAGAGGCAGAGCCCCTGCCTAGCAAGGTGGGGGCCCTGTCCAGTATGGCGGAGACAGAGAATTGGTGACAAAGAGGGAAGGGGGAAGGAGAAGGAGAAAGAGATCGTAAGAAATAACACTTTCTGGGGCTGGGAAGGTGGCTCAGTGGTAGTGCTTGCCTTGTATGCATGGCACCCTGGGTTTGATTCTTTAGCACCACATAAGCAGAAAAAGCTGGAAGTGGCACTGTGGCTCAAGTGGTAGAGCACTATCCTTGAGCTGAAGAGCTGAGGGACAGCGCCCAGGCCCAGAGTTCAGGCCTCATGACCCCCCCCCAAAAAAAAAAAAGAAATAGCATTTTCTGCTATGCATTTAACTATTTTTATAATCATAATGATCATCAAAAATTATGTGATTAAACAAATCATTTGTTCAGAGTTAAAATAAAACCTCATCCAAAAAATAAAAGCATTGGTTTTCCCTTAGATATTGGATCCGAAAGATACACTTTCAGTTTCACCATTCGTGACTCACCAGCCTGTTTTGTAAATGCAGCATGCTGGGGTAAAGAAGAGTACATCAGGCCACTTTCTGACAGTTTTAGGGTGGGTGACTGCGGTAAGTTAATGTTGATTCTTTATTTTTTTTTTTAAAGCAAGCTCCAACCCTGAGCTTCTTTATTTTGACCTGCCCTTCAATCGCTCTCTCCTCACTTCTAGAATTAATGTTTAATTACATCGCTCTGCTTCAGACTGGCATTGATTCTTTGTTGTTGTTGTTGTTGTTGGTTGTGGGGCCTGAACTCTGGGCCTGGGCACTGTCCCTCAGCTCTTCAGCTCAAGGCTAGCGCTCTACCACTTGAGCCACAGCACCATTACTGGCTTTTTCTGCTTATGTGGTGCTGAGGAATTGAACCCAGGGCCTCATGCATGCAAGGCAAGCGCTCTACCACTGAGCCACCTTCCCAGCCCCAACACTGATTCTTAAACTGTTTCAGCTGCAGTATTTTTCCTATGGTATATTTATGATAGCTATATTGAAGCACTCACAATGAAATAAAACATAGCTCACAGGTCTCCAGAATCTTATCAGAACAAAAGCCAAATATGAAGAGCATTAATGTGACATATGGCATATGACTTGAAACATAGAAATGTGATAAGTCATAGTTTTACTAGCATTTCACAATTCAGTTTGCATTAATTCCTATCATTATTACAGTCATTTACCTTTGTAAACACATGATAGGGCCACTGAATAAATTTTGATAAGAATTGATATTTGGGGCTGAGAATGTTGCTTAGTGGTATAGTGCTTGCCTAGCATGCATGAAGCCCTGGGTTCAATTCCTCGGTACCACATAAACAAGAAGCTAGAAGTGGTGCTGTGGCTCAAGTGGTAAAGTGCTAGCCTTGAGCAAAAGAAGCTCAGGGATAGTGCTCAGGTCCTGAATTCAAGCCCCAGGACTGGCAAAAAAATTGATATTTGAATTTTAAGGAACTTTGTTTTAGTTGAAATAGTTTTCTTTCTTTCTTTTTTTGGTTAGTTGTTGGGCCTAGAATCAGGACCTGGGAGCTGTTCCTGAGCCTCTTTGTGCTCAAGGCTAGTGTTCTACCACTTTAAGCCACAGCACCACTTCTGGTATTTTGAGTGGTTAATTGGAGATAAGAGTCTCACGGGGACTTTTCTGACTAATCTGGCTTCAAACTGCCCTCCTCAGATCTTAGACTTGTGAGTAACTAGGATTACAGGTGTAAGCCACTGGCACCTGGCGGAATACCAAATCTTTTGCACATTCCCTTCTCCATAGTATCTTTATGACTATGGGAAAAACAAGGATTCTGAAAACATCTATATGGATTCAAATCCAAGTTTCCACATTTATTTTCATTGTGCATTTGAGAACATTTCTTTTTTTTTTTTTTTTGGGGGGGGGGGGGGCCCGGTCGTGGGGCCTGAATTCTGGGCCTGGGTGCTGTCCCTCAGCTCTTCAGCTCAAGGCTAGCGCTCTACCACTTGAGCCACAGCACCACTTCCGGCTCTTTTCTTTTTGCTCATGTGGTGCTGAGGAATCAAACCCAGGGCCTCATGCATGCAAAGCAAGCGCTCTACCACTGAGCCACCTTCCCAGCCCTTGGGAACATTTCTTAGTCTTATTGTTCTCAGCTATGAAACTATACCTGATTATGTTTGGGGTAATTTAATGACCCATACAAAGTGTAAACTTAGTTACTTGATAGATGACAGCTCTAGCTTAAACAAGAAACAAGAAGCTGGGCACTAGTGAAAATGTTAGCTTCTCAGGAAGCTGAGATCTGAGGATAACATTTCAAAGCCAGCCAGGGTAGGAAAGTCTATGAGACTCTTATCTCGAATTAACCACCAGAAAAGCAGAAGTAAACCCATGGCTAGAGCTCTCATGGGCTAGGAAGGTGGCTCAGTGGTAGAGAGCTTGCCTTACATGCATGAGGCCCTGGATTTGATTCCTCAGCACCACATAAGCAAAAAAAAAAAAAAAAAAGCCAGAAGTGGCACTGTGACTCAAGTGGTAGAGCACTAGCCTTGAGCTGAAGAGCTGAGGGACAGTGCCCAGCCCAGAGTTCAACCCCACAACCGGACCCCCCTAGCCCCCCCTCAAAAAAAATAAAGGGGCTAGAGCTCTCACCTGGAGCAAAAGAGCTCAGGGACAGAGCCTGGGCCCTGAGACCAGCACCAAAAAAAAAAAAAGGTAGAATTTGAGGTATGGGGAAATTGAAGCCCTAACATTTTGAATTCATAAAGCCTGTGAGTAGCTGAGGTTACATCTTAGTGAGCTTTTCTGAGTTTTGCTCTCTAAGTAGTGTTTTATTGAATGGTATGCTGTAACCCAATCAGTGTCAAGTAAAACTGAATCAATGGAGTAACGCTAGTATGAGTCACTTGCTGGGACTAAAACACAAAGCAAAACTCTTCAAACCAATGGCTGCACCTCCACGTTTCCATTCCTTATAGTGATGTGGGATGAAGACTGGGGGACGCATGCCTCTCCTGCCAGCTCAGAAGTTAGAATCAAAGTACAGTTCATTGTTAGCCACACTTAGTTTTCATTTAGTCCTGTTACAGTTTTGTGAGGCCACCACAATTTGATCTCTCTTTTAGTGATAATAGAAAATCCCCTGATCCAAAGAAAGGAATTAGAAAGAGAAGAAAAGTTCAGCCCAGGAACTCCAAGGTAAATATAAAGCCCCTTCCTTTCTTTCTTTCTTTTTCTCTTTCTTTCTTTTTCTCTTTCTTTCCTTTCTTTCTTTCTCTCTCTCTCTCTCCGTCCCTCCCTCCCTCCTTCCCTCCCTCCCTCCCTCCCTTCCTTCCTTCCTTCCCCTCTTTCTTTTTTTTTTGGTCAGTTGTAGGACTGGACCTAGGTGCTGTACCTGAGCCTCTTTGTGCTCAAGGCTTAGTGCTGTACCACTTGAGCCATAGCACCACTTCTGGTTTTGGGGTGGTTAATAGGAAATAAGAGTCTCATGGGGACTTTGCTGCCCAGGCTGGCTTCTAACTGTGATCCTCAAATCTCAGCCTCCTGAGTAGCTAGGATAGCAGGCGTGAGCCACCAGCATCCACCTTTTCTTTTTCTTTTTTGAAAGTTTTGGGGTTTGAACTCAGGGCCTTGCTCTTGCCAGGCTAGTATTCTACCACCTGAGCCACACCCTAGCTCAACTTCAATTTGAAAATGAATCTAATTTTCTGTTACAATGTTTATCTTTGAGATAAACTAGATAATTTACTTTGATACAAAGTCACATGGAAAAAATGACTTGTTTTGGTAGTCTTTCCTTAATATACCTGGAGGATTGCATCCAGAATTACCTGAAGCTACTAAAAACATCCTTTATATGAAATGGTGGCTGGTCACTGATGGCTCACACCTGAGCTGAGGGCTGAGATCTGAGGATTCCAGTCTGAAGCCAGATTAGGCAGGAAGGTCCATGAAACTTTGCTTTCCAATTAAGCACCACAAAAGCCAGAAGTGTAGCTGTGGCTTAAGCAGTAGTAGAGTGATCAAGTGAACTATGAATCCTTAGATCTCAGCTTCCTGAGTACCCAGGATTACAGGCTTGAGCCACAGACACCTGGCTTGCTTACCCACCCTCCTTCCTTCCTTCCCTTCTTCCTTCCTTCCCTCCTTTTCCTCCTTCCTTCCTTCCCTCCTTTTCCTCCTTTCCTCCTTCTTCCTTCCCTCCCTTCTTCCCTCCTTTTTGTCCTCCTCTCCTTCCCTCCCTCCTTCTCTCCTTCCTTCCTTCCTTTTCCCTCTTTCCCTCTTCCCTACTTCCTTCCTTCTTTCCTTCCCTCCCTCCTTCCCTCCCTCCTTCCCTCCTTCCTTCTTGTACTCAAGGCCTCATGCTCTTGCTCAGATTTATTGCTCACACCCCTCATGGACTTTCCTGTCTCAGCTAGCTTATAGCCATATTCCTCTAAAAAAAAAAAAAAAAAAAAAAAAAGGTGGGCTGGAAAGGTGGCTCAGTGGTAGAGTGCTTGCCTTGCATGCCTGAGGCCCTGGGTTCGATTCCTCAGCACCACATAAGCAAAAAGAAAAAAAGCCGGAAGTGGAGCTGTGGCTCAAGTGGTAGAGCGCTAGCCTTGAGCTGAGGGACAGCGCCCAGTCCCAGAGTTCAGGGCCCACGACTGGACCCCCCCCCCCCCCAAAAAAAAGGAATTGACTTTTGAATCTGGAAGCAGTTTTTTATTAAATATCATTTGATGGTAACTTTTTAAATGTGTTTTTGGAATTTAGCAACTATAAACTATTGCTCAGTGAGAATCACTCCATGGTGAAAGTTTGTTCCAGTTATGAAGTGGACGCCAAGTTACTTTCTTTGATACACTTACCTGTTAAAGAGTCTCGTGATTATTATTCATTGGGTGATGTCATTGCAAACGGACACAGCCTTGCTGGGAGGATTATTAATGTGCTTGCAGCTGTGCGATGGGTAAGTCAGATCCTAGCAAATCCAAATGCAATGTGGCAGACTACTCTGTTGCCTAACTTAATTTTGGAATCAGTGGTCAGGACCAGTAGGAGCAATTTTTCCTATCACAGTAGTAAGTCATATTATGAAAATAGTAACTTTTCTCATTAAAGGGAAGATAGCATTTTTCCTGTTGAATAACCAGCAAAATAAAAATCATATTGCTAAATGAAGCATTTTACCATTTTAAATAATGCAGTATTTGACAGCATTCATACTTGGGTTAAAGAAACGTATAAATAGAAAGGATAAGCTTATTCACTTGAAAAGCCAGGCCACTCCTTGGAAGGATGTGGTTGAATGAGTCAAACAATCATTTAGTACCTGTGTTCTCAGAGCTGTGCAGAGAAGGAAGAGGAAGGAAAAATACTCATTGTACTAGGTAGGGCTGCTGAGAAGGGGCCTGAGCAGCAGGTAAGGACAGCACTCCAGGGGCCCCAAGAACATCAGACTCCATCTCAGTGACCACTGAGGAAAGTTCTGAGCCGAGTAAGGACTGTCTGCGTAACAGACAAAGGCACGGTACAAAGATTTAGAGGTGGACCTCAAAAGGAAATCTTCACAGGTCCTGCAGCTCAGTGCTACAGCTCTTGCCGACTATGTGCAAGACCCTGAGTTGAATCCCAACCACCCCCCAAGTAAGACTAAAGCCTCACAAAATAAAGTGTACTGAGAAATTTTTTTTTTTTTTTTGTCTGTCCTGGGGCCTGAACTCTGGGCCTGGGCGCTGTCCTTCAGCTCTTCAGCTCAAGGCTAGCGCTCTACCACTTGAGCCACAGCGCCACTTCCGGCTTTTTTCTTTTTGCTTATGTGGTGCTGAGAAATCGAACCTAGGGCCTCATGCATGCAAGGCAAGTGCTCTACCACTGAGCCACCTTCCCAGCCTAAAATGCAGAAAATTTAAAGGGACACAATTTCTCAAACATGTGGAAGGAGGATCATCAGGAGACACATTGACTTATGCCCCTCTTGTAGCCAGTGTTGTAAGTAAACACTAGTTGCATTTCAAGATTGAATCCTGCCTGGGGGTTGTTCACTCTGCAGATGGCAAGTTAGTGGATGCACATGCCTCATCTGTTTTGTTTTCCATCCTAGCCCTGCCTGGCCCTGTGGAGCACAATTCGTTAGAATAGAGGAATCACAGGCTATATAGCAATCTTGAAGCATAGGAGAAATCACTTTAAGTCTCCTCCTCCTCCTCCTCCTCCTCCTCCTCCTCTGTTGTTAATCGTTTCTCCCTTGTGCTGTTTACCCATAGTCCTTAATGCCATTACATTATTAATGTCATAAGACCTGTCTCTAAGGCTTGTAAAATCCTGCAACAGCTCCGCCCCGCCAGCCTGACGCCCTCTGCCATGTGTCACATCACTGCTTTTCATGCCTTTCATCTTCCCTTTTGTTTCAATCCTTTTCATTTTTTTCTTCCAATTTTTATTTAACCTTTTCTTCTCCCTCCTCACCTTCACTGTGTTTCCACTTCTCAGCTCCTTTTACCATAACATTCTTCCCCCACCCAACACAGTATGGCTGACCACTCTCATCCTTTGGCTCTTCTTTCCTCTGACTTTTTCTTATAGAGCCTGGCTTTTGATACCTTTGCATCTTTCTTTAGCCTGTTCCCATGGGACTCAGTTCTGCCCATAGGTGCCCTGGTGAATGTGGCTCAGGGCAGCCAGCCACTGTTCTGAATCTCTGCTGTGAAGACTGCAGATGCACCTGCTGAGAACCCTCTAGTCAGACAAGGGCCTTGGGCTTACCTCCTCTCCTCTGTCCTTTCTCCCTGCATTGTGGGCAGAATACTTTGTGTTGAAGTACTTCCCTCTACCATTCCCTTCTGGAGGACACAGTGAAGGCATTGCTGCTTGGGGCTAGGCCTAGAAAGCTCCAGTACATTCAATCACATGAACTCCATGCTAGCCTCAGGACACAGATGTAGATAACCATGTCCTGCTGCCAAGGATTCCACGTCGATGCCACCAGGGGCCTGTGGTGACACATTTGCCCTGGCATCTGAAAAAGACTCAGTTTATCTTTAAGGCATATATCTGTGGTTCTCTTCAAAGTGTATGTATTCAGCCAAATATACTTAGTTTACAGAAAACGTACTTTCAAATCATACACAAAATGTACACAAATGTGCAGTTCTTCCCATTGACATTTCTAGTTATGTCTGAGCATTATTCCATGAGCAGCACTTGCCTCTGCGTCTACAGTGGAGGGATAATGGTTTTCTTCACTTTCTAAGGTTGGAGAGCCTAAACACTTTACAACTTCAGACCGAAGAAGAGGCCAGAGGTGTGAAGTTAAACTCTATGATGAAACAGAGCCTGCTTTTACAATGATCTGGTAATCTCCCACATCTCTTCCAAACTGTAATATCTGCTGTTATCACTGGGTAATCACAGGAGATAAACTGCCTTAAAACTGTAGAGTGCTGAGTTGTTACAGATTCCAGCTTAAAATCAGGTCCTTGTTAGCACAGTGAACATGTACTTCCTAACAGAGTGGGTTTTTTTAGGTCCAGCCTATAGGAAACAAGCCAAAATGTTGGAGGTTTTTCACCAAGGTGGGGCTAAGGTAAAGCACTACCCCTTGTGCAGGCTGGATTCCACATGGAAAGTGGCCTCTACCTATCGAGGCCGCTAAGCAGTTTAACCACTGTGGGGGCCCTGCTTTAATGGTCAGAAGTTTGAAGTTCTAAGACTGTCATTCACTTACTTCCAGTTAGTCTGGAGTAATGAAGTGCTACAAAAATAAACAATTAGTAGAGTAGAGGTTGTTAGAAGAGTGTGTTGAAAGAAGAATTGCACTGTGTAGATGTTAAATACTCTGTCTTCTGGTTTTTTTTTTTTGGGGGGGGGGGTGTTTTATGCCAGTCCTAGTGCTTGAACTCAGGTCCTGGTCACTGTCTCTGAGCTTTTTTTGCTCAAGGCTAACATTTTACCACTTGAGCCACAGCTCTACCTCTAGCTTTTGGGTGGTTAATTGCAGACATGAGTCCCACGGACTTTCCTACCCAGGCTGACTTGGATGTGTGATCCTCAGATCTCAGTCTCCTTAGTATCTAGGATCACAGGCGTGAGGGCACAGGTGCTTGGCCCTTTAACTTCTGTTTTTGACCATGTGGGAAATTGCAAATACCAGACACTGAGGCAGGGTTTCATTTTATTCTTTACTTTTTTTGGTGAATAATGTGTTGTGATGGACTTTCCCAATGTACTCACTTTGTATCATTTCTTCTTAAACAAATGCAGTTGGGATAATGAATCCATTCTGCTTGCACAGAGCTGGGTGCCACAAGAAACAGGTATCACGGTTCAGGGGCTGTTTACAATGCTTGTCAGTTTTTTTAAATTTTATTTTATTGTAAAGATGCTGTATAGAGGGGCTACAGTTACATGAGTAAGGTAATGAGTACATTTCTTGTCGAGCATTGTTACCCCCTCCTTTATTTTTTTCTACTATCCCTTCCCTCCCCACCTTCCCCAAATGCTTGTCATTTTTAATCACCAGTATATTAATTTTAAAAGGATTTTTCCCAAACAGTAATATTTGCCTCAGATGTAAGAATAACTTTTGACAAATTTCGAGACTGCATGACAGCAACTGTAATCTCAAAAACCATTATTACGACTAATCCAGGTAAAAAAGCGTGTGGACTATATAAAAAGTAAATGTAGTTCACCATATCAAAGTAATTTTTACTGCTAGAATGTTGAAAAATATGTACATATATGTAGTCCATCATTTGATCCTAGCTTATGAACTGACATTTGTATCAGCCAGGACCTCCTGCAGTGCTTGCTAAAGGAGTGGGCTTTCTAAGTCAGACCTGGGGAAGTCAGAGACTTACTGCCCCGAGCTGTCAGGGTGCTCTGGGTTCAGGCAGGGTCAGCTGAGCACTGCCCAGGAGTGCAGATGTGGAATAACGCAAGCTCAAGCAGGGAGAAATACAAGGTCATGTCTATAAAACAGCTCTACCAGTGACTAAGAATTATAAAGCAAGTTTACGTTTTAAGAAAATGATTATAGGTTTACTCCTTTGAAGACAGGGACTCACTATGCATTTCAGGCTGGTCTCAAACATGTGATTATATGTAGCCCAGGCTGAGCTCAGCCTCCACAGTGCTGGAATCACAGAAATGTAGCACCATGCCTACTTCAGTTCCATGCCAACTGCTGTATTGAAACTCGGTGGAGGCATAGACACTTAGGATAGCAATGCTACCTTTGTTTCCCTTTCCGTTGTTAGAGGGGGTTACAATGGTTTATTTAAGTATCTTTTTTGTACCTGGACTCAAATTCAGGGTCTCATACTCTTGCTCAGCTTGCTTGTTCATGGCTGGTGTTCTACTACATGAGCCATGCCTCCAATCTGGCATTTTGCTGGTTAATTTGGAGACAGAGTCTCAGGCCTGGTTTTGAACTTCTACAGGTCTCAGTTTCCTGAGTAGTTAGGATTATTTCTGGCTTATTTTATCTTTCAATGATAGAAAATCTCTTCCTTGTTATTGGCTAATTCTAGAGTTATTCTAGAGTTCTCATCCTGTTAGTGGTTGATTCTAGAGTTATTCTAGAGTTTTCATCATGTTATTAGCAGTTGAAGAATATGTATGACTTCACATTTTACTGTTAAAGTAATTTTGGAGCCTTTGCTTTCTTGCAATTTAAGATACTCCAGAAGCTAACATCCTACTGAATTATATAAGAGAGAATAAAGAAACCAATGTTATGGCTGATGAAATTGACAGTGTTTTTAAAGAACCTGTAAATTGTAAGTAACCCTTTAAATATCTTTTTTTTTTTTTTTCGGTCAGTCCTAGGGCTTGAACTCTGGGCTTGGGCACTGTCCCAAGCTCTTCAGCTTAAGGTGAGTGCTCTACTGCTTGAGTCACAGTGCCACTTTCGTTTTTCAATGATTTATTGGAGATTAGAGTCTCAAGGACTTTCCTGCCCAGGCTGGCTTTGAACTATGATCCTCAGATCTTAGCCTCCTGAGAGTAGCTAGGATTACAGACCTGAGCCACCAGTGCCCAGCATTTAAATATCTTCTGATTTAAAAAAAATTGCAATGCTGGGATCAAATCCTGGCCTCATGTATGCTAGGAAAGAACTCTACTGTCAGACACTGGGGCTCACCCCTGTAATCCATCTACTCAAGAAGCTGAGAGCTGAGGATCACTGTTCAAAGCCAGCTGAGGTAGAAAAGTCCTGGTGAAACTCTTATGACCACTCAAAAACAGGAAGTAAAGCTGTGATTGAGCAAAAAAGAGCTGAGGGACGGAGCCCAGGCCCTGAGTTCAAGCCCATGACCAATTAAAAAAAAATCATGCCATTGAGCTATATCCCTCTGGAACATCTGGAGGGTTCTTTTTCTTGGTTCTGAGGATTGTTCCCAGCCCCATGAACATGACATTGGGTGCCAAATTTTATGTGTTGGCATAGACCTCTATTTTAATTTTTCTTTTATTTGGTGCTACTAGGTTTTGAATTCAGGGCCTCATGCTTGCTAAGCAGGCATTTTGCCACTCGAGCCATTCTTCCAGCTCCTTTTTATGTTGTTATTTTTATTTATTTTATTTATTTTTTATTTATTTATTTATTTATTTGGGTCCGGTTGTGGGGCCTGAACTCTGGGCCTGGGCGCTGTCCCTCAGCTCTTCAGCTCAAGGCTAGCGCTCTACCACTTGAGCCACAGTGCCACTTCCGACTTTCTTCTTTTTTCTTATGTGGTGCTGAGGAATCGAACCCAGGGCCTCCGGCATGCAAGGCAAGCGCTCTACCACTGAGCCACCTTCCTAGCCCTGCACTGTGGTCCTCCTGTTTGTGCTTCCCTTTGCAGCTGGGATAGCAGGCAAGGGTCACTTCACCCAGCCATTGCCCCTCCCAGTAGCGTGGGATAGCAGGCACATGTCACAGCACCTGTTCCCTCACTGCAATGGAGTCTTTGGAACTTTGCTGCCTGGACTGGTGGTGAGCCGAGGGCCCCTGATGTGCATCTCCCAAGTAGGCAGCCTGACCACAGGCTTGAACATCCACACCTGGCTCTTTGGATTTTTAAAAAGTGCCTTAAGACTAAACTTTTGGTTTGACATTGTAAAAGATACAGTATTCCTATTCTGTGGCTACTATATTTCTACTTTTAGAAAACTAATTTAAAACTTTGGGGGACTATATTATGGCTAGCCAATCTGATGAGAGCTAATGAACAATCCTTACTATCAAGAAAAAGAAACTCCAGCTGGGCGCCAGTGGCCATGCCTGTCATCTTAGCTACTCAGGAGGCTGAGATCTGAGGATCGTGGTTCAAAGCCAGCCTGGGCAGGAAAGTCCATGAGACTCTTACCTCCAATAAACCACTCAGAAAACCGAAAGTGGTGCAGTGGCTCAAGTGGTAGAGCGCTAGCCTTGAGCTGAAGAGCTGAGGGACAGCGTTCAGGACCAGAATTCAAGCCCCATGACTGACAAAAAAAAAAAAAAAAAAAAAGTTTACAGACTTTCCTGCCTGAGCTGGCTTTGAACCATGGTCCTCAGATATCAGGGTAGCTATATTATAACCATGAGCTACGAGTACCTGGCTCTTTCTTACCTTTTAATGGTGTCTTTTTTTTTTTTTTTGGTCAGTCCTGGGCTTGAATTCTGGGCCTGGGCGTTGTCCCTCAGCTCTTCAGCTTAAGGTGAGCACTCTACCACTTAAGCCACAATGCCACTTGTGGTTTTCTGGTGGTTAATTAAAGATAAGAGTCTCATGGAGGGCTGGGAAGGTGGCTCAGTGGTAGAGCACTCGAGGCCCTGGGTTCGATTCCTCAGCACCACATAAGCAAAAAGAAAAAAGCCAGAAGTGGCGCTGTGGCTCAAGTGGTAGAGCGCTAGCCTTGAGCTGAAGAGCTGAGGGACAGCGCCCAGGCCCAGAGTTCAGGCCCCACTACCTGACCCAAAAAAAAAAAAAAAAAAGAGTCTCATGGACTTTCCTGCCTGGGTTGGCTTTGAACTGCAATCTGCAGATCTCAGCCTCCTGAGTAGCTAGGATTATAGCTGTGAGCCACCAGTGCCTGGCTAATGGAGTCTTTTGATAAACAGAAATTCCTCCTTTAATGAAGAGTAATTTCTTATATTTCCCCCTTTTTAAAAGCTTATTTTGTGGCTTTTATATCTATCTATCTATATTTATTTAGTCGGTCATGGGCTTGAACTCTGGGCCTGGTGCTGTCCCTGCGCTCTTCAGCTCAAGGCGAATGCTCTACCACTTGAGCCACAGCGGCACTTCTGGTTTTCTGGTGGTTTATTGAAGATACCAGTCTCAAGGACTTTCCTGCCTGGACTGGTTTTGCACTGAGATCCTCAGATCTCAGCCTCCTGAATAGCGAGGATTACAAGGGTGAACCACCGGCGCCTGGTATAATGTTTTAATACAGCATTCTTTTTTCTGTTACTTAAGATACTACATGTTCTTTTTTTTTTAACTTTATACCTTTTCTATTTGGATATAATCCTCTGTAGGTCTTAGAATATATATGCAACTGTAATGTTTCTTTTTACATTTAGTGAATTCAATAGTGGATGTCTATACGGTAAAACAACTAAAGGAAAAAGCTTCAAAGAATGAAGGGAAAGCAGACCCTTTCTATGGCATCCTTTATGCTTTCATTTCTACCCTCAGCATTGATGATGGAACTACAAGAGTAGTTCGAAATAGATGGTAATTAATTTTATAAGAAATAGTCATGAATAAATTTTAAGCTTTATGTAAGTTACAGCTATTATTTGACATATGGTGATTATGTATTTGAGAGAAATGTATAAGTAAATAAAGGATAAAAGTTTTCATAGGGGCTGGGAAGGTGGCTCAGTGGTAGAGCGCTTGCCTTGCATGCATGAGCTGAGGGACAGCGCCCAGGCCCAGAGTTCAGGCCCCAGGACCAGACCAAGAAAATAAAAAAAGTTTTCATAGGCTAGGAGCATGGTGTAAGTGAACTAGTGCTAGCCTAGCAAGTGTGAGGTCCTGAGTTCAGTGCCACCAAAAAAAATTGGTAAGCTTTCCTGAAGTTTGGCATGGAGGCACAGGCCATGATACCACTCAGGAGCTAGAGGCTGGAGGGTCAGGAGCTTGAGGCTAGCCTGGACAGCCTTCTCCTGAGCAGCTGGGATCACAGGAATATGCCACCACATGCTAGGCAAGCGTGGCTCAGTCTAGCGTGCTTGCCTAGCACGTATGAAGCCCTAAGATGCAATTCTTCAGTACCACATACACAGAAAAGGCCAGAAATGGCACTGTGGCTCAAGTGGTGGAGTGCTAACCTTGAGCCAAAGAAACTCAGGGATAGTGCCCAAGCCCCCTGAGTTTAAGACCCAGGACTGGCAAAAAGAAAGAAGGAAAGAAAGAAAAATACAAAAGAAAACTATTGGTTGTCATATCTTATAGTAATATAGTGACAGTAATCTAAAAATGTACTTTGAACTGCATTATGCATATGATCTCCAATCTCACCAAGGTTGTGGTTAATATTGCCTCACAGAAAGTAAACCACAGCAGATTTTAATAATCTTAGTTGAACTATTTTGCAAAAAGCATCTCAAATATTACTGTGTGGATTAGTGTTATAGCTCAAATAGTAGAACACCTGGTTAGCAAGCACAAGGCCCAGAGTTTAAATCTCAGTACCGCCCCCAAACATTAGGAAATGTTATTTTGAAAATCTCCCTATGAATTTTTGTTTATTTGTTTGTTTTTGTCAGTTATGGGGCTTGAACTCTGGGCTTGGGCACTGTCCCTGCGCTCTTCAGCTCAAGGCATAAGCTCTACCACATGAGCCACAGCACCACTTCTGATTTTCTAGTGGTTTATTGGAGGTAAGAGTCTCACAGCCTTTCCTGCCCCGGCTGGCTTTGAACCGTGATGCTCAGTTCTCAGCCTCCTGAGTAGCTAGGATTACAGGCATGAGCCACTAGCACCCGGCTCCCTATGGATTTTTATAGCTAAAAATTTCTCTTTTTTTGTTTTTTTTTGGGGGGGCCTGGTCATGGGCCTGAACTCTGGGCCTGGGCACTGTCCCTCAGATCTTCAGCTCAAGGCTAGCACTCTACCACTTGAGCTACAGCGCTACTTCCGGCTTTTCTTTTTATATGGTGCTGAGGAATTGAACCCAGGGCCTAATGCATGCAAGGCAAGCATTCTAGCACTGAGCCACCTTCCCAGCCCATATAGCTAAAAATTTCTGTGTATGTGCCAGTACTGAGGCTTGAACTTAGGGCCTCACACTCTGCAATCTGTAGCTACACAGGAGAGAAACTATGGTCTTCAGATGTTTCTTCTACTTGAGAAATTTGAATGAGTCTTCCTAGTTCCAAATTGCAGGATTAAAGCCTGCCTCAGAACTACAAAGTATGAGCTGAGTGCCGGTGGCTCACGCCTGTAATCGTAATCCTTGCTACTCAGGAAGCTGAGATCTGAACATCGTGGTTCAAAGCCAGCTTAGTAAAGAAAGCTGTGACATTCTTATCTCCAAGGAAGCACCAAAAAAAAAAGCTGGATGTAGAGGTTTGACCCAAGTGGTGGAGCACTAGCCTTGAGTAAAAAAACGCTTAAGGACAGTGGCTAGGCCCCAAGGTCAAACCCCAAGATAGGAATCTTTGCAGCCGAGGGGTTTTCCGTATGGGTCAGGAGACTAATTACCCGGCCCAGGTCAGCACCGTTCCTGCCCTCCTAGCTCCCAGTCGGGAGGGTAGATGTGGCCACAAACATGGCTGCGGCCTAAGCTCTGCAGCTGTTCCAGGAAAGAAGGGGCTGTGGCAGGGGTGCAGGAAAGGAGGTCTACAGAGAAAGGAAGGCCACTGGACCTTAGGGACTAGGCAGCGACCATGCCCAGGGAAGCAGGGCGCTCTGAGAAAGGACGGCGTCCCCAGCTCCAGACGGGTCACAGGTGCTGGGGTGAGGCCGCTGCGCGCAGCGCCCGTGGGCTGCTTGCCACGTGCTCCGCTTCACACTGAACACTCAGCGAGCGGGCATTCTACATGCTTAGATTTTTGTTTTTTTCTGAGAGAGGGCCTTGTTGTGTAGCACGGCCTCAGACTCTTCTACCTCAGGCTCCCAGGTGCTGGATTACAGCCATGTACTACCATGCCTCACTTTGATATTTACTAGAGATCACAGTTGTCACTTGGGATCATCCCATTTTTCTTTGTTTCTTTTCAGTTCCAGCTGCGGTTATATTATAAATGAAACATCCAACACTTGCTTAACTTGCAACAAAGATTCTTTTCAGTTAAGGCCTGTTTCTCTCAGCTTTGACATGCTGGTTGATATCACTGACCACACGGGAACCCTCCCTTCCTGTAGTCTCTCCGGAAGTGTTGCTGAGGATACTTTGGGCTGCACGGTAAATGGAAAATAAAAGGGCTAGAAATATTTTCAAACTGAATATTCTGTCTTAAAATTGCTATGTCTGCCATTAAGAGAATTGAGCTACAATTATTCTGAGTAAAATTCTGTGTTTAGTGAGCAAGTTTGTTTTACAATTTAGTCAAAATTAGTTATCCATGTCTGTTTCAAAAATATTTGATTTTTTTTAAAACTAGGCACATCAATTTCTTGCAATGACGGATGAACAGAAAACAGCACTGAAGTGGCAATTTCTTTTGGAAAGAAGCAAAATTTATGTAAAAGTTAGTATATTTTATAGTACTCGCTATTCTACATATTCAAATAATATTATAAATATATAATTAAGGAAATTTTTGCTGGGTGCCAGTGGCTTGCACCTGTAATCCTAGCTATGCAAGAGGCTGAGATCTGGGGATGGAGGTTTGAAGCCAACCCAGGGCAGGAAAGTCTATGAGGCCCTTATTCTAATAAACTGCTCCCTGCCTCTCCCAAAAAAGCCAGAAGTGGTTCTATGGCTAGCCTTGAGCAAAAGAATCTCAAGGACAGCACCCCGGCCCTGAGTTCAAGTGCCAGGACTGGCACAAAGAAGAAATAAATTTAAATAAGGAAGTTTTTGGCAGTGCTGAGATTCAAACCAGGGCCTTATGCATACTAAACAAGGGTTCCAGCCCAGGAATTAATTTTGGTGTTTGACACAAGGTCTTGCTGTGTAGCAGAGGCTGGTCTGGAGCTTGTAAACCCTTGTCTCTGCCTCCTGAGTACTGAGATTACAGGTGTGCAACACCTCATCCAGCAGGAATCAATTTTGAAAATAATGAGCAATGTGCAGAAGGACCTGGCTATATTAAAAACGATGGAAATAGTCAGGGTTTTCTGCCCATGTCGTATAAAGGGAGTCACAAGTGACAGCAAATAGACCAATGGAGAAAACCTTAAATGCTAACTGCAAGACAAAGCAAGAGAGGAAACTGGGCTGTTCCCAGACCTGCCTGCCCACATGGCACTGTGCCTTCCTCAGAGCCAGGGGGGAGTGGGGGGTAGGGGGGGGAGTGAGATGGAATGGGTCTGCATCTCAGTTCTACCACTCAGCCAGCGTGACTTGCGCTACTTCAGGGACTGAAGATTGCTTGAGTCCTGGAGTTTGACTACACCCTAGCAATATAGCAAGACCCGCTCTCTAAGACAGAAATCAGATGTGCCTGGAATCCTAGCTATCCGGGAGGCACCAACTGGGGAGGTTGTGGTTCAAGACCACAACCAGGTTCAAGCCTTCAGGGCGATGTCTGCCCCAGACGGCTCCTGGAAGCACACGTCATCAAGCTCCTCTCCTGTGCATCGATGACATTTATGTTTACTTTTTTCTTTTTTGTCAGCGTGGAGGCTTGAATTGCGGCCTGGGCACTGTCCTGGAGCTTTTTTGCTCAACGATAGCGCTTTACCACTTTGAGCAGTGCACCACTTTTGTTTTTCTAGTGGTTAATTGGAGATAAGAGTCTCACAGATTTTCCTGCTCAAGCTGCCTTTGAACTGCAATCCTCAGATTTCAGCCTCCTGAGTAGCTAGGATTACAGGTGTGAGCCACCAGCGCCCCGCTAAAGCCGGCCTCTGTCTTCTTTTCTCTCCCTCAGTTTGTTCTATCGAGCAGAGCCAGGGGTGGGCTGAGAGTCAGCGTTCTGTCCTGTAAGCGCTCGGACCCTGTGGAGGCGAGCAGGAGCATGCCTCAGGAAGCACAGCCTTGACCCCGTTTGACCCCACAAGGCTGGCCTGCAGACAGAGTGCTAGACGGGGCTGTTCCAGCTGCGTGCTCCTTCCTTCTCGGGGCCTGTTGTTCTGTCTCCTTACAGGTGGGAGATGTTTGCACTCAAGAATAAATAAGATTAATCTTCCTCATAAGAGTGAATGAGTGCTTTCTTTCTTCCTTTCTCCTTCTTTTCTTCTTTGTGGTGGTGGGGCTTGAACTCAGGGCCTGGATACTGTCCTTTAGCTCTTTGTGCTCAAGGCTAGTGCTCTACCACTTTGAGCCACAGCACCATTCCAGTTTTTGAGTGGTTCCTTGGAGTCTCACTGGGACTTTCTTGCCCAGGTTGCTTCCAATCACGTTTCTCAGATCTCAGCCTCCTGAGCAGCTAGAGTTACAGGTGTGAGCCAAGCATTTGGATTGAATGACCTCTTTCTTAAGCCACCTTACTTTGCCTTCTGCAGTGCCACTCAAGCTGCCAGGGCATGGGAAGGCGCACCATTCACAGCTGGTGTTTATGAGCTGCAGAGGCTGTGTGAGTGATCCCTGAGCCGCAGGACTCCACGCCTGCTTTGAGCCAGCAACCACCTTTCATCCATCTTGGTCTCCTCCATAGTGACTCCAGCTCGCTGCACAGCTCCGCTCCAGTGGGAGCTACTTCTGGCACAGTCCCTCTGGAAATCCATGGTGAGATCAGCAAAAGACAGAGAAGCTTGGGGTTGGTTTGGCCGGTCAGACAGTGACATATGATCCAGTTGGCACTAAATGAAGAAAGCAGACGTGAGTATGGCCTAGGTTGGCCATCATGTTTTCTCTAGCTTTTCTTGTCTGCATGTGGGAGGAGGGGTCATGTGACCCTGGGTGCATCCAAAGTGAGCTAATTGAGGAGGCCACGAAGGACTTGACCTCATTGTGTGAAATGCTGGTCAAGGACTGACTTTCCGCATTGTTCTTTGGGGAGAAGACATGGGAGTGAAGCAAGATGAGTCAGGAAGGGACCAGAATGGAGGGACAAAGAGAGGGAGGGGAGGGAGGGGCTGAGCGCCTTTTGCCAGCACCATTGGTTACACAAGAGCAGCCAAGGTGCCTGAGTTAGGTGGTGTTTTGTAACAAAATACCCCCCCCAAAAAAAAAAAAACATAAGGAGGAAGGAGTTATTTGGCTGATGGCCCAGTCCCCTGGGCCTGAGGAGAGGCCCAGGTGTCCATGGAAGCATGTGGCCGAGCAATGCTGCCCACCTCACAGTGCCTGGGAGAGGGTGTGAGGCTGGGGCTGGGGACATGGTCCAGTCCTCACAGCCCAGGCTTCAGCTAGGACTCTCCTCCCCTCCCCTGCCTCAGCCTGCCAAGACCACAATTACAGGGACCACAGTCATGTGCTAGCATGTCCACTCTATCTCCTTAATTAATTAATTTTTGGTCTTGGTTGATTGGTTGGTTGGTTGGTTGGTTGTGGTGGTGCTGGCTTTTGAATTCAGAGCTCAGTCTTGCCAAGCGGGTGCTCTGTCACTTGAGTCTACTCAGCCCTGCTTTGCTTTAGTTTTCAGGTAGGCCCTGTCTTTGCCTAGGACCCGCTTCAGATGGTGGTTCTCCTGCCTAAGCCTCAGGAGTAGCTGGGACCTTTGTGTCGCCTGGCTGCTTTGTTGCAGTAGAGTCTCGGTGATCTTTTCCCCAGGCTAGTGTTGAACCTCCATCTTCCCAGTGTCCACCTCCTAAATTTCTGTTAACGGCCAGCAATCTATCATAGGATGAGCCTAGAATTAATCCATTGGTGTGATCACAGCCTTACTGGTCCAACCACTTCCAGAAGCCCATCAGCTAGCTGCCAAGCTAGCACGCAGACTCTGGGTAACATCTTAAATCCAAATGTAACAGATGTCTGCCCCAAATTGGGCCCCACATCCAGAGCTCAGGAGAGAGGGACCGGGGCTGCCCAGGTATGTTGGGCTGCTCTGCCAGAGCCTACTGTCCTGACCTCCAGCAGCAGGTTCAAAACCACCAGTCCTGGACTGCGAAGGTGGCTCCATAGTAGAGTGCTTGCCTCATATGCATGAGCCCCTGGGTTCGATTCCTCAGCACCACATATGCAGAAAAAGCCAGAAATGGCGCTGTGGCTCAAGCGGTCAAGCGCTAGCTTTGAGCTGAGGGACAGTGCCCAGGCCCAGAGTTCAAGCCTCATGACTGACAAAAACAAAACAAAACAAAGCAAAACAACAATGAAACACCACCAGGCCTGAGGGCATTTGCTTCTCCAGCTGTCTCCCTGTGATTCCAGCACAGGCACGCTGGGAGCAGTCCCCGTTCCCAGCCACCGCTGAGCCCCAGTGTGGCCAGCAGAGGGTACAAGATGACCTCATTCTCACCTGCCCGAACCATCACATAGGGGAAAGCCCTTTGCTGGTTCCATCTGGTGACAGCTAGGTGTCAGGCCACACCGAATCAAAGATGTATTACCGGTTAATGTATACAGTTATGAATGAAGTTACAAAATACTGAAATTCAGTTGCAGATTAGCCTCAATCCTGGCTGTCAAGGAAGTAAATATGCATCCTCTACATTAGCACAAAATACACACCCGGTAGTGTATTTTACTATGCCATTATTATTTTTTTTTTTGGTCGGCCATGGGGCTTGAACTCTGGGCCTGGGCGCTGTCCCTCAGCTCTTCAGCTCAAGGCGAGCGCTCTACCACTTGAGCTACAGCGCCACTTCCGGTTTTCTGGTGGTTTATTGGAGATAGGACTCTCACGGTCTTTCCTGCCCGGGCTGGCTTTGAACCGCGATCCTCAGATCTCAGCCTCCTGAGTAGCTAGGATTACAGGCGTGAACCACCAGCGCCATGCTTACTATGCCATTGCTTGACTAGAGTGTTTTACTGTATACACAGGAGGCTGTGGGCAGGAGAATCACTGTCTGAAGCAGGTCTAAGGCAGACACAGGAAAGCTTCCCTAAAACATAAGTAGTATCACCCTATACCCTCCAGGAGCTACTCTTTCAGTATTATCACCTGCTGGCTCAGAGCTTTCCTGATCTTTTTGGTTAATAGCTGAGTGATTATATGATTTTGCTGAGTCTTCTAGTGGTTCATTCAATAAGCTTCTTTCCAAGTTCTTTCTTGGTGGGTTCATTGATTCAGTACTCTGCACGTGACAGAAACAGTACATTTGTCTATTACTTACCTTAAGGAATCCTGGGGTTGCTTTTGCTTTCTTTCATTCTTTTTGTGTGTGTATGTGTGCCAGTTCTAGGGCTTGAACTGAGTGCTTAGTCACTGTCCCTGGGCTTTCTGTGCTCAAGGTCAGTGGCTCTAGAGCCACATCTCTGCTTCCTTTATTTTTTTGGCTGGGGGGGGGGGGGGGCGAGGGCAGTTAATATAATTTGAGATAAAAGTCTCTTGGACTTTCCTTCTCAGGCTAGCTTCCTTCCTAGACTGGTTTTGAACTGCAATCCTTAGATCTCAGCCTTCCTGAGTAAATAGGATTACAGGCATGAGCCACCAGGACCTGGCCATATTAAAAAAAAAAATCAGATGCCAAGCCATATATATTCTACACAAACTTAACATATTACAGAACTAATTTTTAGGAATGATTAGCAATGGCAGTTATTGAATTCACTGATAGGTACCTGGAGATCCTGGGATGGATTTTTCACTCTTTTCATAGATACATGAGAAGGAACCTTTTGAGTGCTAGGAACTTCATAACTTCAGGAATTGTGGGAATTGGTTTCTCAGCTTTTGATTCTTGCCTGCAAGGACTCTGTGTGCTACAGCTGGAATGCTGTATGTTTGAGGCAAGCTCATTCCATTGCTGGTGGACGTTGACCCAGGGCACTGTCTGCCCTGGGTGCTGGTTTGTGCCATCCCTGGAGCTACACGTGAGCAGTTTCAGCTTCAGCCTTCAGCTTATTTTATTGGTCTATGGTCTTGGTGGCTAGATCTCAGCTGAACCTTGTACTTGCTAGCTAGACTAATAGTACACGGTCAATGGGAGCACACCCCTTCATCCATCCCTTCCACTTATGGAAACAGAGCCAAAGGAATTCACAAATGTGCTGATTCCACCAGCAAGCAGTCGTACAAGCCCATTGTCCACGAGTGGAGGCATGGGCTCGGGGTGTCGGAACGTGCATGGAGACTGTGCTGTGGACTGTGCTGAGTGAGTGGAAGGACAGTCATGACAGCGTAAAAAGCAGGTTAGGAGCTGTATGGCATCTGGACACTCATGGCTCACAGTTGTTCTCTCAGCTCCTCAAGAGGCTGAGACCTCAGGACCATGGTTCAAACTCAGCCCCAGCAGGAAAGTCCCTGAGACTCTTAGCTCCAATTAACCTCCAAGAAGCCAGGAATGCAGCTGTGGCTCAAGTAGGACAGTGCCAATCCTGAGTGGAAAAAGCCAGGAGAGAGCACAAGGCCTGAGTTCAAGGCCTGTTACCGGCATATACATAAATAATAATAAAGTACAGCTTAAACATGGGGATCATAGACTACCTAATTTGTTTAGGGAGAGGTTGATTTTTTTGGTCGGTTCTAGGGCTTGAGCTCTGGGCCTGGGTGCTGCTGTCCCTCAACTCTTCAGATCAAGGGGAGCTCTTTACCGCTTGAGGCACAGCACCACTTCCGGTTTTCTGGTGGTTTATTGGAGAGAAGAGTCTCACGGACTTTCCTGCCTGGGCTGGCTTTGAACCACGATCCTCAGATCTCAGCCTCCTGAGTAGCTAGGATGACAGGCCTGAGTCACTAGTGAGTCACTGGCTAGGGAGAGGTTTTGAGCCAAGGACTCTGTAGTACAGGCTGCCTCAAACCCTTCCTCAGCCTCCTGAATTCTGAGATTATAAATACTTATCACGCTACGCCGGGCGCCAGCGGGGGAGCCAGCAACAGCAACAGCAGCCCTTGGGTCACCCAGCCTCTGTGGAGAGGTGGAGGTGCTGGTTAACTGGTACTAGGCTGGAGCACTGCTGAGCAGGCCAAAGGCCAAAGACCAAGGTGTGCATACCGCAGGTGGGATTCACCCCAGAGAGCAAGAAAGCGCACGCTCAGACCCCTACAGCCCTGCGTTTATTTGCAGAATAAAGTCATCTCTCAACACAGCACCTACAGCCCAGGACAGACGCCCAAGCCCCCACTGAGCAAGGGGTCCCCCTGCTCTGGAGTGGTGGCTGCACTGCAGGCCGGGCCCCTCTCCCCGTCAGTGTTCCGACCTCTCCACCTTCACCCGCATGCTGACCACGCCCTCGATGCCCGCCTCCATCTCGTCGCCGTCCGCCACCGGCCCCACGCCGCTCGGCGTCCCCGTCAGGATGAAGTCGCCCTCCTCCAGGGTGATGATCCTGGAGATGTAGCTGATGAGGAAGGGCACGGAGAAGATCATGGCGGCCGTCTCCCCCTGCTGCCGGAGCTGGCCGTTGACGCGGAGCCACAGCCGCAGGGCGTGCGGGTCGGGCACGCGCTCGCGGGGCACGAAGGCGCTGACGGGGCAGGAGCCCGAGAAGCCCTTGGCCAGCGTCCAGGGCAGGCCCTTCTCGCGGCAGGCGTCCTGCACGTCGCGGGCCGTCATGTCGAGGCCCAGGGCGTAGCCGGCCACGCAGCGCATGGCGGCGGCCTCGGGGACGGCGCGCGCGCGGCGGCCCAGCACGACGCCCAGCTCCAGCTCGTGGTGCAGGCGGCGGCAGTAGGCGGGCAGTCGCGCCGGCGAGCCCGGGGGCGCGTACGCCGAGGACGGCTTCAGGAAGAGCAGCGGCTCGCGGGGCGGCGCGCCGCGCATCTCCCGGACGTGGTCCGCGTAGTTCCTCCCGACGCAGACGATGTTCTTCCCCCACTCCCAGAAGCGGGACAGCGGCCCGGGGCCCGCCATGGCGCCGCGCCGGTCACGTGCGCGCCGGCCCCGGCGCCTACGGCAGCCCGGAGAGGAGGCGCCGCCGGGACGCGCTGCCAGGGGCGCGCTGCCAGGGGCGCGCTGCCAGGGACGCTCACGTACGCGGAGCCGCGGCCGCCCGCCGCTGGCTCAGTGGAGCCGCGGACTGTCCGCGGCGTCCCACGACCGCCGCCGACTCCGCCTTCCAGACTCCGCCTCCGGCCTCGCTGATTGGCCGGGCCGGGCCGGGCGGGAAGGGCCGGTACTGATTGGCTGCGATCGGCACAGGGTGGGCCCTAGCTGACGGGGGACGCGCGGCGCAGGGCGGGCACTGGCTTGTCGGGGGCGGGGCGGGGCGGGGCGCGGCGGGCGCTGATTGGCTGCGGCCGCCGACGCGGTGTTCCGGCCCCCGACGCCGGTGTTGCGGTTCTGCGCCCGGGCAGTGCTGCCCGGCGGGTCATGGTGCTCGGCCGCGGGCCGCTCTGCTGCCGGAGACTCGCGGCGCTGGGACTGTCCTGCGCGCGCCGCGGCCTGGGTAGGTGCGCCGGGCGCGGACGGGCGCGGCTCGGCGCCGACGGGCAGGGCGTCGGTTGGGCGCGCCGGCGTCGTCCCTGGCTCAGGTGCCTGGACGCCCGCGGGCCGGCGGGAGGGCAGCGCCGACGCGGGGCCGCGGGCGGAGGGCGGGAGGGCGGCGGCGGCCCGGCCAGGCTCTCCATCTCGGACCGTCCAGCCCGAGCTAACGTGGCCGCGGCCGGGCCGGGGACGAACGGGGCCGCCTCGCCGCTCCCTGTCCCGCCAGCCGCGGCCGGGGCTCTGACGGCGGGCCGCCCGTCCGACCTGGGCCCCGACGCGGCGCCTCCCGGGCTGCGTGGACGGGGCAGCGGGCGAGTCCCCTCCTCGGGGACCTCCGCCCTCCCGGACACGGGGTGGGGGGGTCACCGGAGGGGTCATCGCGGCGAGAAAGCGGCGTTTCTAGGAAATACACGTTAAGTCGGTGGTGGGACTCGAACTTCGGGCTTCAGGGGCGCCAGGCGGGGGCTCTGCGGGCTGGAGCCGGTGCCGGGCCCCGGATGTGCCCCGTTCATGCCTCGGTGCGCACCTGTGAGCCCGGCGGTCGGTTGCGATGGGGTCTCGCGGACGTTATTTACGTTGTCTGGTCTCCAGCCTCGGTCCTCCCAAGGGCGCCTGGCGTCCAAGGACACTTCATGAAGGGCGCCCCCCTCCCCAGGTCCTCATCACCCGCGGGTGAGGGGGGCCGGAGGGCATGCAGAGTATGGCAGGAACTGCATGCATTCCACCAAGAGGTTTTGTTGAGCATTAGAAGGATCTGGAAAACCCAGGACAGGAGATGTGTCGAAAAAGAGACCTGGGAACTCAGGTGGTCAGGTTTGTGCAGCCTGCTTCCAGGCCCTGGGTTCGAGCCGCTCCTGCGGTCTGCACCCGTGCAGTGCAGGGTTTTGCTGGCTGTGGCGGATGAAGGTGGGCCCGAGGCATCTCTCCTGTCCCCTGCGAGGTCGTCTACCCCTTGGGCAGGAACACTGAACCGTGCTGTTGGGGCCTCAAGCATTTTAGATGGAATCGTCTGGTGGCTCTGAGTACCTTGGTGTCTGTGCACTGGTGCTCACCACCGGCGGGCTCTGGGGAGGCCTGGGGCTCACCGCTGGCCTTTTTGCATCCGTCATACTTGAGGCCTGCAGGGGCTGCAAGGTGTGCGTTATCCACTCTCGGATGGCTGTCATTCAGTAGCAAATGCTGTTTTGTCAGAGGCGTTGTGAAACAGGCCGGACACAGAAGCTGCCCGCTACCCGCTGCACCGCGGGGCAGGCAGGCCTGCACCCACCCCAGCCCAGCAGGTCTGTCCTTCAGAGCCTTGAGAGGAAAGCATCCTCATTCTGAGCTGGGAGCGTGGCTCTGCTGAAGCACACACCGACTTGCGCAAAGCCCCCGGCTCTGCCCCCAGCTCAGGGAGACGAGAACCCCACCTCTGACACGGTGCCGGCATGGGTCGTTTGCGGCACTTTTCTCATGGATGTGGTTCTTCTGTCGGAGGAAATTAGGAAACCCGGAGCGCCGAGCCTCAGTGTGCACGGGGAGCTGGTCTGAGGTCTGCGACCTGAGGCTGCACCCCGCGTCCTCAGGCCCGGCCCTGCTGGGAGTCTTCTGCTATCACTCGGATTTGAGGAAGAGTCTGACTGTGGAGCAGGGCGCCATGAAGGTGGAGCTGCTGCCCGCCCTGACCGACAACTACATGTACCTGCTCATCGACGAGGCCACGCGGGAGGCTGCCATTGTGGACCCCGTGCAGCCCCAGAAGGTACGTGGCTCTCTGCACGGCGCCTGAGCCCCGACAGTGTTGGGAGGGTGGGGCCACCAGGCTCCCATGGCAGTACCGCGCGTGCACCGCGTTAAGCCTTGCAGTGTTGAGTCCATGGAGCCTGGCCCTCCAGTGCTTTCATCTCTCAGCACTGCCTGTGTGCGTGTATGCATGTGTGTGTGTGTGTGTGTGTGTGCAAGAGAGAGAGAGGAGTGGGGAGAGAAAGGGGGAGGGAGAGACAGACAGACAAACCTTGGAGCCAGAATGGCTTGGAGAGGTCTGAGGGGAGGCTGCCCCCGCTGGGGCAGGACCTGGGCTGGGCACTGGTCTCTGGCAGGGGAGAGGGGTATGACCGCACCTGTCGCGCCGTGTGGTTGCAGGTTGTAGAAACGGTGAAGAAGCACGGGGTGAAGCTGACCACAGTGCTCACCACCCACCACCACTGGTAAGTGTGGGCCGGGCCGGCTCTGGCCCTGGAGGGGCCCTGGAGGGGGCGGGTGCCCTGGACACGGCCAGCCCTCCCCTCCCCCACAGGAATCTGAGAAAGCACCAGGCCTTCTGTCCTCCTGCCCTGGGGCCACTGGGGCACCGTGCCTGGCACTGCCCGCGTGGTGGGACTGGTGGCAGAGGGCAGGGCCGCCTCTCTGGCCACAAGAGGACCCGGAGACTTTTGTCTAGATCTTTGGCTGATGAACAGAACAATGGCTGCCATGAGTTTTTTTCAAAGTAGCTATGTTTCAAGAGATATTTTTAATTTTTGTTCTCCAGTTAACTACTGAAAGGCCAGAAGCAGAACTGTGGTTAAATGGCAGACCTCTAGCCCTGAGCAAAAAGCCCAGGGACAGTGCTCAGGGGCTTTTTTTTTTGCCAATCCTGGGGCTTGAACTCAGGGCCCAGGCGCTGTCCCTGAGCTTCCTGTGCTCAAGGCTAGCACTCACTTGAGCCACAGCACCACTTCTGGCTGTTTCTGTGTGTGTGGTTCTGAGGAATGGAACCCAGGGCTTCATTACTGCTAAGCAAGCACTCTACCACTGAGTCACCTCCCAGCCCCAAAAGGATTCTTTTTGGATTTTTGACACGTCTGAAGTTCTTGTGCTGTAGAAATACCTGTTTGCCTCTTGGTTTTAGACCACACAAGGCCCCCAGGCTGCCCCCCCCCCCCCCATTCTCCCTAGGCATCTCTGCTCAGGAGCTCCTGGAGCCGCAGCTGTCATTAGCAAAGCTACTTGGGTGCCAGGCCCAGACTCCGAGCCACAGCCGCACTGGGGCGGGAGGCTGGTGTCCCCTGCCTTGATCTGGGTCAGGGCTTAGAGGCTGCCTGTTGTGGCCGCAGGTCCCGGCCCTCCCCGATGCCTGCTCAGCGCTGGGCACCGGCGGACACGGCCACACCCACAGGGGCCACTCAGAGACTCCTTCCGACACGGCTGGTTCTCCAGCACCGTCATGTTTATGTCACAAACCAGGGCTGGCTCCAGGGTTCTTTATCAGTGTCAGCATTTTGTATGATTCCTCTTTGTCTTGTGTCATCTCTTGCTGGGGACAGGCCTTAGGCCTTTGCTGCACTCCAGGCCTCTCCCGGTCCCTTCCCTGGGGCTCAGACCACAGGGTCCCTAGGGAAACCTGGAGCCCTGATGGGGCTTCCGGGACGGGTGCCGCAGCCTGGAGCAGAACAGTGGCCACTGGGGGTAGTGCGGGAGGGCCCCCACCCACCTGGAACTTCCCCGCCCTGCCAGTTCAGAGCCAGCCTGGGGGCTGGGAAGGCAGCTCAGTGGTGGAGTGCTTGCCTCGCATGCATGAAGCCCTGGGTTCAATTTCTCAGTACCACATACACAGAAAAAGCCAAAAGTGGCGCTATGGCTCAAGTGGTAGAGTGCTGGCTTCAAGCAAAAGCAGCTCAGGGACAGTGCCCAGGCCCTGAGTTCAAGCCCCAGGACTGAAAAAAAAAAAAAAAAGACTGCCTGGGCTGAGAGGAGACTGAGAGCAGCGGGGGGCGCGGCGGGCGCGGGGGGCGCGGGGGACTCAGCGGGCGCGGGGACCTGGCTGTGGCACCAGGCGTGGGGCTGAAAGACACACCAGAAACCCCGCTAGTACCGGAGGATGAATGCAGGGGTCGGCCTCTTTGCCCATCTGACTTACAGGGACCATGCTGGCGGGAACGAGAAGCTGGTGAAGATGGAAACCGGGCTGAAGGTGTACGGCGGCGATGACCGGATCGGAGCTCTGACGCACAAAGTCACACACCTGACCACGCTGCAGGTGAGGGGCCGCAGGGCACCCTGCCGGCCCTGCCTGGAACAGGGCCCGGAGAACCACAGCCCCCCAGCCTCCACTCAAGGGAGGGGGTTCTCAGGGGGACCCCGACAGCCCTCTGGGGAGACGCCCAAGAAAGCCGACTAACATGACGGCTCCGAGGGGTGGGCGCCGGGGACGGGGCAGGTGTCTTGGGGTGCAGTGGGGGCTGCCTTTGCAGCACACAGCCCGGGGGGGGGGGGGCGGGGTGGCTGCCTGCCGAGGTGGAAGGTGCGAGAACGTGGGGTGAACTCTGGTAAGAGCTGCTGGGTGCTGGCCATCTTTTTCTGGCAAGATGCCTCATTTGGCCCAATTTTGAAGGAGAAAACAAGAGCTCCTGAGCTTTGGCCAAAAGCAAGCAGAGTGGCCTGGGGCGGCCCCGTCTCCAGGGGCGGGGGCGGGGCCCGGGGTGCCCACGGGTGGGTGGGGTGTGGTGGGGCTGGCGTGGAGCCGGCAGGGCGTGGCCCAGCGGGCACTCACACCCGCG